TTATGCAGAGGCTTAAGTCCTGCTGGCTTCGGGGGGGGCAAACCCCTTGTGTGTGTCCCCAGTCACTGTCCTGCGGCAGCGGCAAAGGGCTGGCACGCTTGGCATGGGCTGTGTGGGGTCAGCCAGGGCCGGGGGGGTTTGGGCTCTCAAAACCAGAAACTAGGCCAGTCCGCGCACACAACTGGGAGACGGGAGACGTGGCATTTCCTCCTCACTGACAGTGCCGGGGCTGAGCGGAGGGCAGAGCCGGAACAGTGTTGTTATGTTTAATATAAAATAATTGCCGTGCTTCAGGTAACGCCCACATGCTGCCCAAGGCTGTGGCACCAGGGTGCTGCGGAGCCCGGTGCCCATCTCCCAGCCGGCCCCCCGTGAATACCACTTCCCGCTGCCTCTGGGTTGTGTCTGCTGCTACAGCGAACCCCCCCTTGGTGCCTGTCCCCAGGGATGCTCTGCACCCCACCAACCCTTGATGGGTGGAAGCGATCGCCTCTGGGGAGCTGCTCCAAAACTACAAAGGAACCAGAGCTGCCCTCACCTGCGGATGTGGCGGCTCCCACATTGCTTTACCCACCAGGAAAGACCCTGCCCAGCATGGGCTTCACCCACACCAGCCACAGGTCCCCAGTGAGCCGTGCGGGTGTCCCAGAGCAGACCTCCACGCTGGTGCCAGAGCCGCTTCCCAGTCAGAGACCTTGTGCTGTTCGACCTTCTGGAGCATCTTTCCTCTGGCACAGGGTGCCCCGTGCCCAGGGCTAGCACCACAGGTGACAGAGGTGACGCAGTGCTGGGGTGCCCAAAGAAGCAGCCCATGCTGGAAGCACTTTTTCTGTGTCCTGGCACAGAGACATGTGTGGGCATCGCTGTCACAGCCTTTCACAGCGGCACGAGCCCCGGCTGTGGTGGCATGCACAGCGACACACTCATGGCTCTGGGGAAGCGCAGGTGAGCCGAGCAGAGCTGGAAACTCGGCTGGCCGGAACGCCAGCAGACCCTCCGCGTAGTGCTGCTTAAGGAGAGATTAAATGGAAATCATTTCTATTTATTGTAATATTTATCAAAGTTTAGTAAATAATTGATGCTGATCCGTCCTTGATTTCCTTGGGGGCCAGCATGCGGTTCTGGCAAATTAAAGTTTAACGATGCGTGACAAGGCAGGAGGAGGTGGAGTGGGCGAACACTGGGCACGCCGGCCCTGGGGCTCGACCCGCGCTGCCCCGGCTCAGGCGGGAGTGAGGAGCACCCGGCCAGGGATCCTGGGGAACCTCTGCAAATTCATTTCTTCTGCCCTCACCAGTCCCCCCGATTTACAGTGTGCAGAGCAGATCCCAGTGCCTACAAACAACACGGCGTTTATTGGCCTTTTGGATCCGTAGCTCATGCTGTGTGTGATGTCCATCCAAGGCAAGGGGGGATGCAAAGGCACTGAGGGAAGCAGCAGAGCCAGCAAGGGCATTTAGGCAGGACACCGGCACGGTGCTTGCATGAGCAAAGGCAGAAAGCTGCTCCTGACTGGCAAACTGGGCCAACCAAGCAGTTGGCAACAGCCTGGAGCCCTGCTCCTCTGTAATTACTTTGGATGCATGAAGAGGGCTCTGGCCACAGCATTGAGCCCAGCATTTCTTTGGAAAGGAAGATGAAACAGTGCTTGGGACTGTGCATGTGCAAGGCACAGGGAGCCAGGACGGCTGTCGCTACGCTGGGTGACGCCAGCCCTGACTGGGCACCAACCGATGCATTCATACCCAGCGTGGGAGCAGCAGAGCTGGAGGACCCAAGAGAAGCTGTTGGGACACGGGAGCCCCCATGCTCCCTCCCGCTAGCCCCAGTCCCGTGTACCGTCCCACCTCAATGGCTTCATCCTTGCAGCTCTTGGCTGGGCTCGCTGCCAGGCCGGACAGCGCTGGCTGCCGCGGCGGGGCTGGCTGCTCGGCAGAGTCATGCACGGCGTCTGCGTTGGTGCGATGTACAAGCCCTGCGGCACCGCTGTGTGCAGCCGGGAGAGCTCTGGGGCTGCCCTCGCCTTACCTGCATCTGCTCGGGCACCTATGGCCCTCTCTCGGGGGACTTTAGTTGGTTGGGTTTAGTCATTTTTCACATGGGTTGACTCTCGAGGGTTGGGGGACTTGGCAGGCTTGAAAAGCTGGTGGGCCAAGGGGAAGGCGAGCCAGCTGGGTTGGGTGAGCTCACAGCTCCTCTCCTCTGTGGAAAGAACAGACACCCTCAGGCATGCCCATGGGCAGCCAGCACCCACCTGCCACTGAGAGTGCCCATGCCGTTGGGACACCTGGGGACACCCCTACGGCCCCAAGCAGGAGAGTTCCCATGGATGTGTCCCACTCCCCTTTAGAGCCATTGAGGTCCTGGATGAAGAGTCTGGTGGTGGCATCGCCAGTGGCCACCTCTGGGGCCAGCCATCCCCGGACACATCTCCCTCCCTCTTCCCCTCCCAGCACCCTGTCAGACTGCGCTCAGATTGGGAGCCGAGGCCCGCAGAACTCCCACACACCTAGTCTGGGGCTTGTCCTTCTCCTCCGTCTTGAGGTGGCACTGGCAGGTGGAGGCCTTGCTGTAGCTGACGGAGCGCTTGGTGGACTTCTTCCACTTCCGCGCACTCCGCACAACCCGCTTGAAGATGAGGTAGAAGATCTCGCAGACGGTGAGGACGATGCAGATGGAGGAAGCTCCAACCATGAAATAGGTGAAGACCCTTTTCTCGGTTGGCCGAGCAATGTAGCAGTCTACAGTGTTGGGGCAGGGGTCCACGTTGGAGCACTTGACCAGCCTTGGCAAGTCAAAGCTGTCCCACATCTTGTGGAGGAGGTAGAGGAACAGGATCTCTATGATAAGCTTGAAGAAGAGACTGAACAGGTAGGTCCACCACAGCCCACCATGCTTCTTGCCCGTGTTGCTGTAGAGCTTAGGGCAATTCTCCCCGTTCTTCTCCCGATTCTTCTTTTCGCGGTCCTCCCGGTAGGCCACATGCATGATGACCAGGAGGGAAGGGCAAGTGACAAAGATCAGCTGCAGGGCCCAGAGGCGAATGTGGGAGATGGGGAAGAAGTGGTCGTAGCAGACGTTGGTGCAGCCTGGCTGCCGCGTGTTGCAGTCAAAGTCTTTCTGCTCATCTCCCCACACACGCTCCGCCGCCACCACGTAGACCAGCACACGGAAGACGAAGACCACAGAGAGCCAGATGCGGCCGAAGGCTGTGGAGTACTTGTTGACCCCGCTGAGCAGCGCCTGCAGCGTTTTCCAATCCATGGCGGCCGGTGGAGACCAGAGTCACCCGACCTGGAGAAACAGCAGCAGAAGCAGCAGGTGGAGAGATGCGATGGGACACAGCAATGGGGCAGCTCATCTCTTGCTGCACTTAATCTCATTGACCTGCCAGAATCTCTCCCTCACCACGTTATACTCATTTCGGGTAGAGGGACCATCCCATTCATGGACAGTCAAGCCCAGCCCCGCACTCTCCTGGTGATAGTCAGGGGTGACTCAACCTCTCTGCGCTTCCTTCTGACGGAGGCTTTATCATCAGGAATGAGCCTCCCGGCCAAGTCCCCGCCACCAAGTCCCCAGCCTGACTGTGCACATCGGTGTAAATTGGCAGCACAATCTGCTGGAGTGGGCCAGGATCAACAGCGGGAGGCCGTGCCCGGACGGCAGACCAGGAGGGCTGTGCAGGGCGCTTGGCATGTCAGCAAAGCAAAGGCTTGTGTGGACACCAGCCCTCGAGCTGGCACATCCCTTGGGATGGGGGCAGGAAGGGACCCCGCAGAGCATTTCCATCCCCAACTGCATCTTCCTTCTGCCCCACTGCCCACAGGACACATGCTGATGGATGCCAGGATGG